GTAGAAGAAGAAGATTGCTTATCGTTTTTTTGTTTGATTAAGAAAACACTCCCGATTATTAAGAGTAAAACAATTACGCCACCAATCAATAAAATTATTGGTTGTCATTTTTTTGACTTCATATTATTATTTTTATTTGCTTTTTGGCGTTATCATTTTAGCATTCCACAATTATAAGAGTTGTCAAACGTGAAATAAAATTAATATATTCTTATGAATAAAGAAATTGCTATTCGTCATTTTTTTCCTTTTTTTACCCATCACCCAAGTCTTGTTTATTTAGACAGTGCGGCTACCAGTCTAAAACCAGAGAGTGTTATTGAAGCAGTGCGGGAATATTATGAAAAATATTCTCTTAATAGCCATAGTGGAGGCAGTGGTCTCTTAGGCCAAAAAGTCCAAAACACCATTTCACAAACCCGCCAGTTAATCGCCCAAAAAATTAAGGCTAACCCGGATGAAATTTTTTTTTTGCCTTCCACCACTTACGCACTAAATATTTTGGCCTTGTCTGCCCGTGATTTTTTGGTTCCTGGTGATAAAATTTGCTTAACCCGTTTAGAACATAGTTCTAATTGTTTTCCATGGGAAGCCTTGGCTCAAGAAAAGGACAGTCAAGTGATTTTTTTGCCCTTGAATGAAAAGTTTACTATTGATATTGACAAATTGGTAAATTATATTGACAAGAAAACCAAAATAGTCAGTTTTTTTCATATGAGTAATAGCCTGGGAGTAATTAATCCCGTTAAAGAGATTGCCGCCAAGATTAAAGAGATAAACCCGAATTGCTGGGTGATAATTGATGCTTGTCAAAGTATCGCTCATTTGCCGATTAATGTTGAAGAATGAAAAATCGACGCTTTGGTTTTTTCTGGACACAAAGTTTATGGACCGACCGGAATTGGAGTGCTTTGATTAAAAAAAGAATTAGCCCAAAAATTGCCGGATTTATTATGAGGCGGAGGCAAAAAAATTGGATCCAATGATTCTTTGGTAGAGAAAAATAGGCATGGACATTTTATACAAAGTATTAAAAGCAGATATAATATTTTGTCTGATAAGACTAAAAATGAACCTTGGCTCTTAACGAGAAAATTCGAAGTTGGCACTTTATCATTAGCCCAAATATTTGGTCTGAAAGCGGCTTTTGAATTTCTTAATGGTTTAGATATAAAAGTAATAAGTAATTATGAGCGAACATTGAAAAATTATGCTTTGGGTAAATTAAAAGAATTAGAAAAAGTGATTATTTATAATCAAGAGTTAGAAACGGTGGATATTATTCTTTTCAACTTGGTCGGCTATCACGCTCACGACGTGGAAAATTATTTAAGCAAAAATGATATTTTAGTGCGGGCGGACAATTTTTGCTGTCCTTATTTGCCCGAATTAATTGGTGAAGAAGCCGCCGTCCGAATTTCTCTCTTTATTTACAATACCAAAGAGGAAATTGATAAATTGGTTTACTGTCTAAAAGAACTAGTAGAAAATCCTGATCTAATAATAAATGCTTTGGATTTTTTTCAATAACAGTTAGAAAAGATTTTTTTGCTAAATTTTTTTAAGTACAAATCGAAAATTTTTTCTTATTAGGTTCTGAAAATATCACGGATGGCAAACCTTTTTTTCAATTAGGCAAAATTAAGGAGAACAGCGAGAGGATTGGGTGCGAAAGGATTATTCTTTAATTATTCATAGTTTAGGTGTTTTGCGTAGTAATAATCATCCAATTTATCATGGCGGGAATTTAGTTAAGAGATTAGTTTGTCCTCTCTTTAATTTTTCTTTCGATATAATCTTCCAAAGCCAAGATTATCACTAACTTTTCTTCAATAACATTTATTTCTTTTTCAGTTAAATTACCTAATTTTCTTTCTAACCTTTCACTGGTAATGGCTCGGACTTGTTCACATTTGGCTTTGCCTGGTTCACTATTAAAGAAAATGGCTACTTGAAAAGGATAAATCTTTTCAATGGAACGACTGAGAGGAACCACTACTAACAACTTTTCTATCTCGTTTTGCTTATTATTGGAAACGATTACTAGTGGCCTTTCGTTTTGTTGCTCATAACCTTCGGCATCATCCAAACGACCTCAATAAACTTCTCCTCGTTTAATATTTTTCCTTAATATCTTTTCACTCATTAGGGTCGTTGGCTCATTCCTCGTAGGCTTGGGCTAATTCTTTTTCTTGGACTAATTTATGAGATTTTATTAATATTTCTGCTAACTCTTTTTGGGAGATTTTTTTATTAACTACCCTTGCTTGTAATTCTTGGAGGAGTTGCTGATTATTTATTTTTTGTAGACTTTCCATAATATTTAATTTTAGCATTTTTGAAAAAGATAATAAACCAAATAAGTTTCTAACTGGTGAATACCGATTTTTGTTTTTATATATTTTCAGCACCTTTACTTCGGCCTAGTAAATATTCGATGTTGGCTATCCAACAGGCGCTATTTAGCATTTTTTTTGCCCCGCTACCTATTTTCCATTGCTAAATACTTGATAAGTAAATACAAAACAAAAACGAAAACTAAAAAAATTAAAACTCCGCCAACAATTACTTCCCAATTGTAATAAGAAGCAGGCACGATAGCAACTTCTTTAATATCAATATTTTCTCCTTTCTCCTGCTTTTAATTGTTTATTACACCTAGTACAACGCAACATCTATTGAATAATGTTTATTCTTAAATTTTTTATGTTCTTTTTCTAATTTTGGCTATCAATTTAATTTTAAAAAATTTTTTCTCTCAAAGTTCATTTTTTTAGTAAAAATAAGCCTATTTCGAATATTTTAATGTAAAATTCTTGGACTTGCTCTGTTGGGTCAGTTTTCCCGATGACCGAGAAATTTTGCTCGAACAGTGTTTATGACAAACCGCACCAATCCCCCCGAAAGAGAGAACAAATTGGTTCCTATACTGTTCATTCTGATTAATCTCGGAAATCCTATGCAGAATACCAAGGTAATAAAAAGACCAACTATTCAATTTTTCGCTACGCAAGTTTTTAATTCTTGTTTATTTAGTAAACGACCGTGACGCAGGAACTCGCTGCTGATAATTGAGAACATAACGGAGATATAAAGAGGAATTAACCAAATATATCATTCAGTGCCTGAGACCCCATGTTGTCATCAGCGACTGGTCCGGTCAAAGAAAGCCGGGTGGTAGGAAAGAAAAAAAGTAAATAAAGCCATCATACAGCCGTTAAAGATACAGTATTTAAACAATGGCATCGTCTCCGCATTCAACTGTTCTTTCTCCTCCATGCTAAGGTAAGGGTCGCGCATTTTTTCCATATTCTCCCAAAATTTCGCCGTTTCGAAATAAATCCAAATTGCAATTATTTCAATAATTACTAATTTAAAAATTATCTCCAAAAATAGATAATTGTGTAATCCCAACTTCTTACTTCCTCAATTGAGGGGAGAAATGAGAATCGATTTGAGAGGGTCATAGACTATTTTTCGTCATCAATTTCGACTATCGTCTAGTTCAGTAATATTTAATTTATTTTGCGCCAATTGGGTTTGAATGTTTTTAATCGTGGCTTCTTTGGCTTGGTTTAATTTACTATTATATTCCTCTTTTTTTTTGGTTAATTCTTCTTTCTCCTCTGCGGTTGGGTTTGGTTTTTTTTGTAATTCTTCGATTTGTTCGTGTAATTTTACTAGGTCAGGCAATTTTTCTTTTTCTCATTTTCGCGGCAAGTCGCCTTCTTTCAGCCCTTCTTGCTTTTTCTCAATTTGTCCTAAAACATCATTTTCGATTTCGGCAACAGTCCTTTCTTTTCTTTCGCCTCCCAATAAACCTTTACTATTATATTTATCCGTTTTCTTATCGTGCTGGTCAATTTTTTCGTCATTTATCGCCTCTTGATAAGTGATGGCTTTAGCATAAGTAGTAATCCAAAGAAATCAATGTAAAAAAATAATTAGGAAAAGTATCCGCAAACCACTTCTTAAAATTCTCAAAAAACTAACTGATTTGTTTTTTGGGCTGGTGAAACCGGGCTTTCCTTTATAGGGCATATATTATTAATATTTTTAACCCCCTATAAAATTTCGGGAGCCAAAGACAAGATTTTGTTGTATCCTCATTGGTCGAACTCGGCTAATATAGGAACAAATACACGAGTTCCCACCGGCTCCTTAACAACTTTGATAATCTTTCTTTTTTTCTTTCCTTCATCTTTTATTTTTCTTTCTCTTTTTACTAAAACTGCGTAATTTTTACTAAATTTTATTCAAGTATTATTTTGGCGGTGAAAATACCGACGAGTGGCTACTACCAAAGCCAGAACTATCTTTCCTTTGCTAAATTGGGGGTCAGCATTAGGGTCAGATTTCTTTACCGTGGCGATTACTAAGTCGCCAATGCGACTATATCGCCGATTAGAGCCACCCAAGCAGCGAATTACTAATAACTTTTTTGCTCCGGAATTGTCCGCCACTCACAAAATTGATTCGTTTTGTAACATATATTATTATTTTTTAGCCTATGGCAAAAATGTCTTTCTTTTATTTTTGGTCTCTGAAAAAATTGTATTTATTTTTAACCTCCGGTAAATATTGTATCTATTTTTCCTCCACTATGGTATGTATCAAAGGTTTTTCCTTATTTCAATTTTTCAATAATTCACTTTCCAAATAACTTTTAATCTCCTCTTTCCAATTAGGTTCTTTGGCCGAGATTTTGTTTGTTACAAGTCCTGCAATTTTCGTTTTTCAGTCCTCAAGCAAATTCTCATTTTTTTTTATATTGATAAATCCGTAAGTAAAAAGATAAGGAGAAGTGGTTAATTTTCGTTTGGTCTTGTCATAAAAAAGTACTACCAGAAAAAAACCTCCTTGGGACATTTTTTCCCGCAAAGTCAGGTTACTTTTCAGTTCCTCCACAGGGAGTATTTGGCCATTAAACACATAATTAGGTTGGGCCGGCAATCTTTTTTTGGTTAAAAAAAATTCTTTGCCCTTGGCCTCCACCACTTCCCCGTTAGCACAAACGAAAATATTTTCTTTAGGAATACCTAATTCTTGAGCCAAATGCCCGTGTTTTTTCAGCATCCGAAAATCGCCGTGAAAAGGCATAAAATAACGCGGTTTAACCAGCGTAAGCATTAATTTTAAGTCTTCTTGGCAAGCGTGACCGGAAGCATGGAGCAAATCCTCTTTATTATTCTCATAAACTTTGGCTCCAAGAGCAAATAATTTATTGCTAACTAATTCAACATTAAATCTATTATCCATGATAGGAGAAGAAGTTAAAATAATACAGTCTCCGGCCTCAACTTTTCAATCTGGATAATTTTGGTGAGCCAGCCGACTGAGGACCGCTTTTTCCTCCCCCTGGGAACCCGTGCAGAAAATAATTAACTCGTTGTTAGGGATTTTGGCAATGTTGGCCGCTTTCAAAAAAACGGAATTATCTATTTTTCACAAACTGGCTTTTTGAATGGCTTTCATCATTTTGAGTAGTGAAGAACCCAGCAAAACAATTTTTTTGTCCGTTTTTTTGGCAATCTCAATGACTTTTTTTAAGCGGTAGACATTAGAAGCAAAAGAGGTAATAATTACTCGGCCTGTAGCCTCTGTAATAATATTTTCTAAGCGTTTAACTACTTTCGCTTCTGAAGGAGTATTACCTTCAACTTCAGAATTAGTGGAATCGCTCAACAATAAATCCACACCTTTTTTGCCAATTTCGACCAACTTAACTAAATCAAATTTTTCTCCGATTTCGGTTCAATCAAATTTGAAATCGCCAGTAATAACTATTCGAGTGTTATCTTTTATTACCTCAATTATCACGCCAAAAGAGCCAGGAATAGAGTGCGTTACCCGAAAAAAACTGACCCGAAACTCCCCGGTGCGAATTATTGTGTCGTCTTGAAAAATGGTGGTTTTTTCTTTGCTTTCTCCCCGTAATTTTTGTTTGAGAAGAGAAATTGAAAAGTCCGAACCATAGATTGGAATGTTCGGAATTAATTGTAGTAAATAAGGAATACCGCCAATATGATCCTCGTGGCCGTGGGTAATAAATAAACCTTTGATTTTTTTCTGGTTAGCCACAAGATAAGAAAAATTAGGAACAGTGCCGTCAGCGAGATTGCTGCCGTTGAGAAACTTAACACCACAATCCACGATAATTATGTCCTCATTTTTTTCGAAAACATAACAATTTTTTCCTACTTCATGTAAGCCCCCTAGGGCAAATATTTTTAAATTACTTGACATTATAGACATAAACTAAATTTTATTTTAATATTCTTTATTGCTTTTATTCATATTTTTTTGTCTATCCTCGCCTTCTGATTCTGACTGTTGTAGGTGCAGCATCGGTTCTGGTTCCTTTTCATATCAATCAACTAAAAAAACCCACCACTGCTACTACACAAACTATTATCAAAACAATTTCTCCACTACTCACACCGTTTCCTTTATTGGAATTACGAGAAGGATTAACGATAGAACTGTCGCCTAACTCAGAATAATTAAGAATTTCCTTATTATTACTTTTTAAATAAATTTTTACTTGTTCTAATTTTTGTTTATCCCGCCGATTAGAAAAAGTATTACTAACTTTTTTCTCGCCACTATTAAAAACAATATCCATAAGTTCCTTGTCCTCGTCGCTTAATTTTATCGATTTAATATTATTCTCTCGGTAATATTTTTCCAGGTCTTTTTTTATTTCGGGGATAGTTTTTTCTGGCTTATGACTTGTGGTTTTCTCATCAGATAGTTCAATGCTATCTCAATCTTTGTCTTCAAGCAGACTTTTATCAAAAGTAAATTTTTTTCCGACAATTTTGAACTTTTTCCCGTAGTTTTTAACTAACAAATCACGGTATTGGTTAATTTTCTCTCCTTGGAAGGTTAAAGTATCAACCAGACCCGAATAGTATTGCTTTGGTTCAATGCTGATTTTTAGGAAATTATTTTGACTTTCAATTATATTCGTGGGGACAAAATATTTAAGTTCTCCGTAGTAAAATATCTCTATTTTGTCGCCTCAATTAGAGTCTTCAACGTATCATTTTTCTTTGCCTATTTTCCCTAATTTTTTTCCTTCGTCAGAAATTACATCTTCCATGAATTGTCCTTCTGCTCGAATTTCAGTTTCTAATTGAAAATAATGGGGTTCATCTCTTTCTTTTTCTAAAAATTTAATCGTCTCTTTATCGTTAAAAACTAGCAAATAACCGCAATTGCTCCAAATGAGGTCGTGGCATGATTGAATAGGAATTCCTACCAATTCCCCTTCTTTGATTTTTGGGTTTTGTTCTTGGTCTTTTAACCGAAAAGAAATAATTTTTTTTGTCATTTTTAGCAATAGTTTTTATTCTTTTATTGACATTCTAAACCTGCTTAATCTCTAATTCTGAATTATTTTCATTAAGAACATTAAAAATTCCTTTTTCTACCTTTTTATCACCTGGAACTAACTTTAGATCATCTAAACCATCATTCAATTTCTCTGGCTTTTCCGGAGGCAAACCATTCTTTTTTACTGATATTCTTCCTAAAAAAAA